AATGCAGCCTTACCCGGAATAAACAGGAAACCGAAGAGGGACGTAACACCCACAACATGACAAAACATCTTGGGATCCCGAATGGTGACTCCCCAACCAGACAGGCAGTCCAGTCCCACCCTCTGGAAATGGCCATCCATCTGCCGCAGCCAGGTATTACGTGAGCATCCCCTTGGCCTGGTCCAACAATGAGGATCCTGTGAGATAGATCACCATCAGGGAATTGAGCCACATGGTCATAGTGCCGTAAATGATGTTCCTTCACAATTTAGGTAATGTGCCTCCCCTAGAAACCACTTGTTTGACACAAGTGAAACCAGTGGTACCCAAGATTCTCCTAAGAGACACAGTACCGAAGGAGTCCAGTCTTTATCTCAGCTCACTTGATAGCGTGCAGGTGTTACAGCCATACAAGAAGACAGGGATGTTCAAGCAGATGTTCAACACAAAACATTCCAATTGTGACTGTAAGTTGGTTATGTTTAATGTTGAAGAGTTCAAAAACCCCCGACATGGGCAGAGACTGAAGAGAAAATAAGTAATCTGGGAGGGAGTTCCACAGGTAAAACACTCTGTCCCCCACAGAGTGGAGTTTAATCCTGGGAACATGAACGCGCCATCTGTTGTGGGCTCTGTGGTTTCGATTGCAAGTTCAGTTAGTGAGAATTTTTTTGAGGCATGGGGGCTGTTCCATGGATGCACTGGTAGCTCAGGAGTAGGATTTTATAGATAATCCTAAAGGAAACAGGAAGTTAATGAAGTGATTGCAACACTGGAGTGATATGGTAGTGCTTTCTCACTCTCATCTGGATTCTGGCTGCACTGTTTGGATGTATTGGAGTTTCTGAATCTTCCAGGTTACTGAAGAGGATATGGGAATGTGGTTGCCAGAAAATGTGATATGAGTTATAGGAGAACGCTGGACTTGGTGGGGGGTGCTGACCAGAAGAACTATTTTTGAGCTATTTAACTGCAGAATGTTGAATTTCATGCAGTCTTTAATCTTCTTAAAGTAGGTGGTTTGAGGTTAAGTTGCAGATCCAAAGAGTCTACAAATCTGATAGAGGACAATGTCAAAATCAACAGTGTCAAATGTGGCTGTCAACTGAAGGAGGATCAGGAGGGAGAGGGAACCAGAATCAGCAAACATCAGTAGGTCGTTTGTAATCCAGAGAAATGCTGTTTTGGTACTCTGAGCCTGCCGAAAGCCAGACTGAAACTACTCAAAGAGATTGTTGAAGTTGAGATGTTCCTGGAGCATGATCACAACCACCTTTTCCAGTATCTTAGAAAGAAAAGGGAAGTTGGATATGAGCCTGTAGTTGGTTGGGACTTTTGGATCCAGTGTGGACTTCTTAAGAGTAGGGGTGATGACTGCAGTTTTTAATGCAAGTGGATGTCCTGCTCTGAGGGAGTGAGTAATAAATGAAGTTATCAAAGGACATAGGGCTGAAAATAAGGCCTTAATCAAACCTGTGGCTAATGGGTCAAAGGTGAAGGTGGAAAGTTTCATTCTATTAATATCCTGAATAACTTCAGTTAAATGAACTAGGAGTGGAGGGGTATTTCTAATTTGAGAAACAACAGCACAGAGAGGAGTGGAGGGGAATTTCCAGGTTGAGAATCAACAGCACAGGAGAAGGGGAGGGGAATTTCCAGGTTGAAAGTCGGCAGCACAGAGAGTCTAAGAACGTGAGCTGGTGAGCAGTGATGATTGTACACTGCCCGGCCAAAAAGTCACCATTTGAATTTATATCAGCAAATACTTAAGAGCCAATGACTGGATCATTATTATAGCTCAGCTACGTTATGCAGCAATAAAGTGAAGTCAGATGAGTACCTGAATCTACTGAATGGCCATGTTACACCTCCATCCATCATCAATGGATTTTTTTCTTCCCTGTTGGCATGGGCATATTCCAGGACAAGAATGCCAAGATTCATTGGGTTTGAACTGTCAAAGAGTGGTCCAGGAAGCATGAGGAATCATTTTCATGCATAACTTGGTCACCTCAGAGTTGTGACCTTAAACTCATTGAAGGTCTTTGGGATGTGCTGAAGGAGGCTTTACGGAGTGGTTCAACTCACTTGTCAATACAGGATCTAATGCAATCTAATGGAATTAATGCAAATATGGATTAAAATAAAGGGTGAGATGTTGCTTAAGCCTGCGGAAACAATACTATGACAAATGTGCACCATAATCAAAGCTAAAGGCGGTCCAATGAAAAATTCAAATGGCGACTTTTTTTTTGGCCGGGCAGTGTATATTCTTCACCTTGGTTTTAAATTGAGCAATGAAACAATTGCACTGTTCCTCAGTGTTCTCTAGATGAGCAAAAGGAGGATGTTTCAGGAGATGGTTGACGGTACAGAAAAGCCGCTTAGTATTTCCAGAGTTATTATTAATTATGTTGGGGTAAAATGCTCAAGTGACCAAGCCTCTTTGAGGGACTTAAAATAGGCCTTTTTATGAGACTTGTAGGCTAGCTTATGAAAAGTGAGCCATGGGTTTCATAGTGCCACTATAGTACCCGACCAACAGCTTTTATTTTCCAGAGGTCTTGGTTGAATCAGGGAGCTCAGTGTACAAAAGAGACGGCTGTTTCCAGAGGGACATGATAGTGAAGAACATCGCCCAGTGGCCCGTGGGGCCATTCTGCTCCTCCCCATGTTCCTTGATCTCACTCTGCTTCTTGTCTGATGTTCTCCAGTGTCTTCCTCACTTGTCTCATTCTGTGCTTCCTGTCAAAGGTGTTCCTCGGGATTCGATGATGTCTCGTTTTGTCTCATCTGACTAAGTGTATAAGTGTTCGCATTTCCACGTGTGTTCTGCCCTTGAGTAGAGTCACACAGAAACTCAACCCAGACCCTAAAATGAACCTCTCTGCTAAATAGTTCTTATCAACTTATAACATTTAGGCAGTGATGTGACAAGAATTTCCATGTTAACAGGTGAGGAGTGAAAATTTCTTCATGATCTCAGCAAGTCATGGCAAGTAACGGGCTACAGCACCCAAAGCTAAGGGAACATTGGTGAGGGTCTCTGGTCAAGTATGGGGCTACAGATCGTAGTGTTAGGGGTCACCGGTGAGGGTCCCTGGTCAAATAGGGTGCTACATCACCTGGAGCTAAGGGGACACCAAATGAAGGTTTCTGGTCAAGTAGGGGGCTACAGTAGCTGCTGCTAACGGGACACTGGTGAGGGTCCCTGGTCAAGTAGGGGGCTACAGCACCCAGAGCTAAAGGGACACTATTGAGGGTCCCGGGTCAAGTAGGAGGCTACAGCGCCCGCAGCTAAGGGGACACTACTGAGGGCGAGGGTCAAGGTTTCTCACCAGTGCAAGATTCACTTTTTGTTTGTCTCTGAGTAATGAACGTTTTAATGTGCATTAATAGGTATAATACAATAAAAGATATAAGATCCAGTGAAATGTTTAAAACAAAATAGTTCAAGGCTGCTTTAGCTCCTTTCTTTTTATTATACGTTTTGATATATTTCAGCTTTAGCTACTTATGTACCATCTTTAATAAATTGATGAGTGTGGGGGCATTACTGTTAACCACCATAAGTTGTGTCTGTTTTCCTGTAATGCTCACCTAGAAACACTCCTTTGATTGAAATTGTCATTGACCTGCCTCTCCTCACCTGGTGGGGTTGGTCAAAGTGTTTCTCAGCTGTGACTGTGCAGTCATGCAGCATGCCTGTGCACGAATCCCAGGATGCAACAAGGTCAATCACTGCTTCTGTAAAATATTCAGATGATCGTTCAATATACTGTGACCTTTCTAGTCTACTGGCTTGTTTTATCATATGACTTATTTGCATAGGAAATGTCTGTATGACAGCTTTAAGGGATTTCAAACACTGATTTCTACTTTGAATGTGAAGATTTAGTACATTAGATGTCACTAAGCTCAACAATATATGTAAATGTAAATTTAAGTATTTGTATGATCTTTCCCTAATTCTGTCCAAATACCCAAAATAATAGATTGCATTGAAGTCATTGATCATCCAGTTGCTTGTCATGTGACAATCTCTAAATAATTTATGCAGCTCAGAGGTGAGCCAATTTTTTGCCAGTTGTTTTGTTTTGTCCACATCAATGCATCACTAAGTTCAATGCATGACCATCCTAAGGAAGTACCATCCTAGCAGTGACCTAGCAATCGCTGCTGGGGATGTGAATTCAGCCAACCGGCAAGATCATCTCTCATTTGCTAATATTCCTTGTTCTATTTAAAAGCTCTATTTATAAGTTCAATTTTTAAATTATTTGATTCATAAATACGTGTGGATTGTAGCTAATCCCATGTATATAGGCTACTGTAAATAAATATGTTCATTCTTGAATATTCAGTATTTCTGTCATGACTATTTCCGAAAAGCATGAACCTGCTGAAAGCTATTGTCAGCATCACATTCTAAGCATCAGCTCACCAGCTTAATAGTCGCACAATTAAAGGCTCAGACAAACAGACTAAATATGGCTACAGTAGACTGACATTAGCAACCAATGGGAAATGTTTATGACTACAGTGTAATGAATATTTTATCATTTACTATAATATTTATAGTAATGACTAATACATGATCAAGTCTGAAACTAAACCTGGGGGTCTGTCTAGAGTTTGCGTCACTGAAGATGGTCAGCAGCTGCCACAGGCAGTGATCTAGTTAACATAAGCTCATGCGGAGAGCGGCACACAACAAATGTGAAGTGGCCCATTGCAATGTGCACTGGAGTATGAAATAAGATACACGTACAACGTACACTTTCTGAGGTCAGAATTGAAGCCTATATACCCAATAAAACAATATTCATGATGATTTCAATTAAATTTACTAGGAATGATGGACCTCAGCCTAGTGCCACTAACTTACCACCAACATTAAAACATAGTAAATAACCAAGTGTAACAAAACACATATATCACTTGGGATCAGGGATTGAATTGTGTGGATGGAAAGAGATTACAAGCTTCAACAAGAAATATCAAATTAAATGTTATAATTATCAATGGTATTACAAATGTATTGTAACATTTTTGAAAAGTATTATTCAAACTTTAGTAATATTGTGTTTACACTCCAACATGAATACACATAATTCATTAAAATACTTAAACACCTTGCTCCCTGGAAAGCATTATTCCCAGAGTGATATTTAAGAATGACAATATTAGCAGTGGTGGGTGTGACTGTTGTGTTTCATCTCCAGCTCTGTCTGTGTGGAGTTTGCACGTCCTCCTCATGTTGTTCAGGTTTTTTCTGGATAATATGGTTTCCTGCAACAGTCCAAAGACACGTAATTAGGCTAATTGGCACTTTTAACTTTCCCATTGTGTGTCAGTGTGTCCTTGTATGTGGGCTGTGATAAGCTGGCAGCCTCGTGTCCTGTGCTGGCAGGAATATGCTACAGATCCCCCTAAGACCCTGATCAAAATAACTATTCGGAAGATGGATGGAATAATGGAATATATAATAATTTTATGATCAAAGTAATATTTGTTGGTATTTTTCATCAATTTGCCCAAAATTCAAATTCATGCAACGTTATAACTTCTGTGAAGCATGATGGTAGTGGGTGGTGAGTGGCTCAGAGGAATGGTGCCTGTGATCAGAAGATCCCTGGTTCAAGCCCGACCTCAACAGCACAGTCACAAGCCCATGGACCCTTGAGCAAAGCCCTTAATCCCTAGCTCCAGGGGCACTGCAAGTTAGCTGACTATGCACTGTGACCCCCAGGCTATGTCTAGCAAAACGGGGCAGGCAAAGAGAAGCATTCCAATGGACTTGTGCAAATGGCAAATAAAACACATTTGTTTAACCTTTGGACAACTGTCAGAGCACAGGGAAAAACACATGGGCATGCATGAAGATCTGAAAAAGACAGAATTTCATTAGCTTGAGGCCTATAAAACAGTACAGTCAGAGTATCATCATTGCCTGATTGCTTTATTTAAAGAAAATTAGATTTGAAGGCTGCTGTTAAAAATGACTATCCAGCTTGATCATTTTAACGAGACTGGGTAAATATGCCAGGAAATGTGAGGCAGAGGCTTACTTTCAGAGAAGTTGCCACTTTTTAGATACATCTAAAACACCTACAGTAATGTACTCAATCTCAGTTTCAGTGTTTACAATGATCTATAGTGTTCATACTGGCATTACAGGGTAACACTGAAACAGAAACTAAAAAGTATTACAGTAACTCTTACCATTTACAGCATGACCTCTAGTGGACTTTCATGGTATAACAGAACTGACATTAACGTGGTGAAGCACATAAGCTGACCAGCACAACAAATATTACACAGTGCTAAATAGTAACTGCATGACAGAAATAATTACAAAGAACCTCCCTTAAGAATATGGAGAAACACCTTTTGAGTGCAGTTTAGCCACATTACAGATGAAATAGCATGTTTTGGGGTTCTGAAAGCTTTGGTGAAATGTCATGTCAGGTAGATGGGGTCAGATCTCGTTCATGCAATGATAGCATTGCAGGGCCAGTGTCTGTTGTATGAGTATTGTGCTACCACACTGGAGCGCAGTCAGGATGTGCCTACAGGGAGGGCAGCTAGGGAAATCACCACTGCAATTCAATGTAATTTCATAACAGTACCAATAATTACATGGATAATTGTTCACCTTTTTCATTAATTCAGCTATGTAGTTCATCGCAGAATTACACACATTAAGAAGTTAAGCTAACTTACACAATATAACTGTAATTTAATTTATTATAAAAATATATACATTTTTATACTCAAGCACATAATTACAGGGGCATCTGATCTCATGCAACTGTATATGAAATTTGCAAGCAATAAATATTTAGCCAAAAAAAGCACTCTGACCACCTTGTCAAACTCATTTCAAAAGGAAGTGGTTAGCCAAAGTTCTGCTCATACAGAGAACCGACTTCCTGTGACTTAGCGAATTACACGTCTGGCATTTTTTCATCAACACTTCAAACAACATTTCCTAACTCCTGCCAAACTAAGAATTTTTGGACAAGGCTGAAGGAATTAATGTCAGCTGCTAGACCATTTATTCATTTGACACGTACAGTAACAGCCCTGGGATGGACTGGAATCCTGACCAGGTAGTTTTCTTGCCTTCTGCCCTATGATTCCTGGGATAGGATCTAATCTCAGTGTAACCCTGCCCTTGATTAGTAATTGGAAGATCATTTATCCATCCATCCATCCATCCATCTTCTAATTATTTATCCTGGTCAAAGTCACAGGGGGAACCTCAAACTTATCCTAGAACCTCAAACTTATCCTAGCACCATAGGTCACAAGGCTGGAGTACAAGTTGCAGTCCATTGCAGAGCACATGGGCTTACATATACTTTACTGCAGCAGCAAATTATTTGCCAGCACTAATTAGCCTACTTACATGTCTTTGGACGGCACTGGAAAACAAGAAAGCCCAAAGGAAATCCAAGCAATATGGGGAGAACATGCAAGCTCCACACATACAGAGCAGAGGAGGGATTCGGGCTCCCAACAAAAGAAAGGTGAGGCAGCAGTGCTATCCCTGAGCAGAGTCATTTTTTGCACCCATTTTTACATTTTCAACCAAAGGGAATCAGTTCGTTATGCAATTATTCATCTGGATACCCAGAACCAAAATAAGTGGTTGAAGTATGAGCTGGTGGGTGTGTCACTGCATCCTCATGGGTTCTGGGTTCTCCTGGGATTCAAACAGGCAGTTTTCAAGTTTAGGTCTTGTGTTCTTAACCACTATGGCCCAGTTGGTATTTGTCACTTATGAAGGGTGAAGAACGAGGAAAAAATATGGACAAAATAGATCGAATTGTTCATTATTCAGTTTAATCCATCGGTATCTTACTATATCTTTAATAACCACTTATTTAGTTATTGGTCACATCCATCCTATGTCAATCTCAGAATTCACAGGGCATAAATTTAGGAGCTGTGATGAGCTCAGTTTAACAAGCAAAATCATGATGGAAATCATATTTGTGTCTGTCATACAAATATATACATTTAATTTATTTTCACTTGTTGAAATATCACTATAAAGGTGGATAACTGTGAAATGGGTTTGAATTTGACAGTCATTCTAATTATATGAGAGAAATTTTAACAAGGAAAACATTGTTTCTGTGTATCCCGGTGGGTAATTTCAATTAGAAACACTTCAATCTAAAAGCAATGTCTCTGTAGGCAGGTAAGTGATAAGGTCTTTGATGTGATAAATATGCAGCTATTTCTCTGAACTGCTGTGACAGATAGATAAATACTTTATTCATACCCTCAGGGAAATTCAGGTACTTTTATATTTGTTGCTGTTTACAGGTTATATGATCAGCAAATTCTCTAATAAAAGTACTTTTTTATTTCATAAATCACAGGCATATCATTTAGCAGACTATGGCTTGTCAAAATGACCTCTTCTTCTAATGCTGTGATTAGGAATAAAATGGTTTGTTTTAAGTGAGTAAGATGAGTAAGACATCAGTTCTGTCAAGTTTTTCTGCACTGTTTATGGCTACTCTACAATTTGGGAACCTCAAATCATTTGTTAGAATGAACCAATGTATATTTTGACACACGTCAAAATATACATTGGTTCATGTTCATCTATAAAACTCTTCTAGGTTTGCCTCCTCCATATTTGTCACCGGATGCAAAAATGATCTGTTGTTTACAATACCCGTAGTGCCAAACTCTTATTATTGAGAGTACCCAAAGCAAACACAAAGTTTGGTTTATTATCATTCCAGACTGCTGCCGACAGAGACTGGAACACATTAAAATGAGACAATTTGTTGTCGTTGCTAGCTTTTAAAAACCTTATTCAAGACTATCTCATAGATATATGTAGTTGTTTCATATCTGAATAATTACTGATGAAAATATTGCATGTTTATACTGCATTTTGTTTTTGTATTATTTGTTTATGTGTCTTTATGTCTTTACCCCTTGAACAAGGTTCTTTTGCCTTTTGCCAGGCCATCAATGTAAATAATTAATTGCCCTTAGTGACTTGCCTGGAAAAATAAAGGTTAAATAAAAAAATAAAATAGTTATGCAATATGGAGTAAAGGAGGGGGGTCTGGACCTAATTTCAAACAACAGAGGGTACAAGGTAGTGGAACACCCCAGAGGGAGTGGTAGTCCATTGCAGGCTATATACCCTTTCACACTATCAGCAATTCAGAGATGCCAATCAAATTAATGGTGCTATCTTTGAATTGTGGGAATCAAACCCACACAACATCAGAAGAACTCGCAAACTCCAAAGAAGCGCAAAGCAATTTGAACCAACAACCCGGAGTGACATGCCTACTCACTAAACCTTGTGACATGCGGCAACATATTTCAAGAAATACCAAGAAAAAATAAACTCAACCTCAGCTGACCGAAGAGGTCTAAAACATATTTATTATATTATTATTGTAATATGTTAGTAGATTTTATGCTACATTTATTCTACATTTAGACAAAGGTACTATACTACGCCTGTTGGTGGATAGCATAATGTAGTTAAGAATGGAACAAATCTGTGATTTTTTTGCTCTAGTAGGCCTGTTAAACATCAAAGACAATAATTCTTCTTCACAGTTAATACTATTGAAAATTTTAATTAACTTTGGTGAGATTCCCTGTAAATTCGAGAATGATAAAATTAAACTGGACTAATGTAAAAGTTAAATCTAGATTTTACTTCCCATACATTATTAAAAGCTTACTTAGAGTGAAAGACTACGCATAAATATTTCTACAGATTCAAACCACGTTTTATCAAACATACAAAAGCCATAATGTCGTGAATCCCAAATCATATACATATCATCGTGTAGAACTGATTACTCTAAAATCTATTTACAATAAATGTAAATGAAAAACATGCTAGTTTTGAGGAGCAACATGCGAGATGGGTAAGACTATGGAGCGTGACGTCGTGTACCGGTTGTCCGCTGGGGGCGCCAGCGAGCAGCCCGCGCTGCTGCATTCTCCGGCCGTGTGCTGTGCGTATGAGATCATTATCGGGAATCGCTGCAGGACGGGTCAGCCAGGCAAACATTTTGAACTCTCTCTGAGACAGCGAAGGATGAAAACTGCGCCCGAGCTGCTTGCTTACCTCTCTATGGTTCATCCATAGGCGCCTTTCTGCATACAAGAAATTGCGTCAAGACTCGTCAAGTGCTATTTTGGATTTACTGAGAGTACATTTTTTTTCGTCAGGCTTCGCTGCAGATGAAATCCACTTCATTCCCTAATCATTCCTCGTCCAGGGTTTGAGAGGCAAACTATGTAGCCTTCTGACTGACAAGTGGGACGTATTTAAAGCCGCGGCTTATTTTTTTTTCTGGAAAAAAATAATGAACAATTGATCTGCCTTCGTCCACGAATTTCGCCGAAAACACTGACGCCAGTGGTCTGTCATCCTTCACGAACTAAATGTTTGTATTTTAAAACGAAGTCAGCCTTGAATAGACGCCATTTTCGCCCTTCTCTCTTGGAGGCTTGCTCCGTTTGACACACGCATCTTCGGGGGGGTGTAGTCGGGGTGTCATTTCGCTTGCTGACCATGTCCATGTAGACTGATGGCAGCTTTATAAGAACCACAACAACAGCATCGAGGAGCAGAGGAAGTCGGAGGTCGCCACGCCACACACCATGGGTTAGTATCGATAATGGGCATTTTTCACGCTTTGGGAGACTGTTCCAGAACATGCGGTCCTGTGTAAGTGGAAATGAATGCTGGTTTTAGAGTATTTGGTTAGTAGCTAACCGGTTAGTTAAACCTGCCGAGGTGATGTCTACACGCTAACTTTTCCTTTAGCTCTAATAGTGAAGAATCGAGTCGAGCTGAGTCTTGTTTTTGACATTTTAAAAGATAATTTATTTACCTGAGTGGAAACAACTGATGCATGGACTAAGGTGGCTGTGTTGTAGCGGTCAGATTTAGCGTAAGTTTATTTTGTAACGAGCGATATGATGACTTTCAGTTTTGACGTCTATTACGTTTTGATGATCGTAGGCGTTTTTAAAGTTTAAAATGAGAAGTTTATTCTCCGTTCCGTATGTACAACATTGTCACTCGGTGACTAGATTTATTTACTTTAAGATGCCAACGGGGGCGGGGGGGTCTCAACGGAGGGCATAAGCTTTGAATAAAAACGTAATAGCGGACATAGCTTACTATAAGGATTTCTCGTTATATATGGATGCAGTTTTAGTGCCTTTAAAAAACGTAGGTTGATAAAGTCGTTTTAATGACCTCTTAAATACGGTATAAATCTTGTATAGGGTATTAATCGTATATTATTTGCTTGTTCCGACAACCTGTAACCCTAAAATTGTACATACGTAACATAGTGTAGCAACTCTGGTATATTGTTGAGCGCGATCAAATGCCGGTTGTTATAAATAAAGAGGTGCCTTCTGAACTGATAATATAACTTCTGAACTGACGGATTTCAATTTTAAGTATACTGTACTCAGGCGGTAGTGAGAAACGGTATGAAATTTGAAAATGTTTCTGCATATGGCTGTTCTTAGTGCATTGTAGTCCGTCTGTTTTAGTCATGAACAGAAATGTTCTAGCTTAAATCTTTATATCAAAATGCCGGCTAATTTTTAAAATATAGTTTTAAATTAGCTTGCTTTCTGTGTCCTCTAGTAGAGGGTTATCAAAACGTTCCTGGAGAAGCATGCCTACGCACTTAGCATACTTATTGAGGTTTGAAAGCATTGGTGTCATGTCTTTAAGAAGTACTACATTTTATAACTAAAATGAACATCTTTGCGTTTATGTTTAAATACAATTAACAGGTAATTGGACAAGAGGAGGAAGGTTGGTCCCCCTGCTGGTGCATAGTGCCCTGACAGTTACCATAGAATGCCAGCCATAGAGGGGACCCAATTCAGAAAACAAGTTTTGTAGTTTAAGCTTACGGGTATCTTGTAGTTTAAGCTTACGGGTATCTTGTAGTTTAAGTTTACTGGTATCTTAATTCCAATTGCATGTCCCATGGGAGGTCAAAATCCAATCTGGTAAGGCTGCAGCATCTCCTTGCTTTTGCTGCAGTATACCACTCGGTTATTTCATTAAAGTTGTTTAGAGTTTTAGTTGGTATCTGAGGGGTAACTCAAAATCTGAAAGATTCTCCGGCTGCTGAGGAGCTGATGCTCACTCTCCTGGTGTAAAATGAGAGGCCAAAAACCATATAGTATGGATTTTTGTGGGCAATAAAGTCTCATATCTTAATTGTTATATGACTTATTTGAATGTGAAATTAATCAGACATTCCAGAGGTAAATGTGTATCTTGAGGCTTAAAGCTGATTTCACAGGATCTCACCACTCATTTGCAATAGCTTGCACGTTGCAATACCTAAATGACATCCACCGTATTGCTGGCAAGAAGGTGTGAGGTTCAGAATTGCATTGTTGTTCTTTAATTGAAATGTAAATTCTCACAATGCGTTGTTCTTACTAGACTTCACATTCAATTATCTCAAGGATCATTTGAGGAGTTCAGGGGCACAATCAAAGGTTTATATCTGCCACTAGCGATGGGTACCGATTATTCGATTAGGATGATTCAACATACTTTTTTACATCAGCGACTTTTGTCATTAATTTACTTACATAATGACTGTCATTTGTTCCAGGAGATTATCAATAGTATAGGTATTGCCCAGTCTGGAGCCGGTACTGGTTCTCGATACCCATCCCTGTCTGCCGCTCTTTAAACACACTATTATTGTTACGTATCATCAGCACACTGTGGGCACACTCCAACTAACTATATAAATACACCCATGGGGGATAAACTCCCACTGATGTTCATCCATAAACCCAGTTTCAGTAACTGCTTATGCGTTTTAGGCCAGTTATTGAGAGCCTGTCACTGAATGGAAGTACTTCAGCCATGGTACACCCCAGCTGTGGAGCCTGGGCAATAATATCCTCAAGACTAATACTGGGAATATTTACATCTGCCAAAATTATATATACATATATAAAATGTATTCATTTTTCAAAAAAGTTCTGAATAATCTATTAATCAAATAGCTGTAATCAAAAATTGGAAGAAATTTATTTAGCTTATCTAGTGTCAGTAGTCCATGAATACATCCTGGTTATGTCAGCTATTACCTGGAATCCAGCATAAATTTTTGTTGTACTGCTAACAATACTAGCAAAAAAATTTGGGCCAGAATAAGCAGAAGTTAATTTAGTATTATTTTGACTTGTATTCTCTGTGTTGAATTAATGTAATTTCTTTTTGATTTGTATGGAGAATTGTTTATGGTGCCTTTTAGTTGTTTTATGTAGTGTTTGACTGCAGCACTATCTAAAGGGCAGCTTTATGGTCAGGTTCAAATACAAATGCTGTATTTTAAATTGGTTTTAATTGCTTAGTTACTCAATTGAATGTGACCTCCATTGTTCTCTTGCTGGTTGCTGGGAGATAAAGAATTTGATACCAGGTCTTATCACTTACCACTTTTAGGTACACCATGGACATAAACAGTTCAGTTCATTCATGCTTACCTAGGCTTGTTTATCTTATGTTGTTTACTGACACTCTCTGTATATGAGTGACATTGTATAAAAGAAGTGATCTAATGTTTTGAGTCTACAGCTATAATTCTGCTTCCTTACCATGTAATATCCCCCATAAATCTTCTTGAACCCTTGGTATTTCTTGTGATTATTGGATTTTTGTATTGGATTGTTAACTTCAGATTCACTTTTATTTCTAGATAGATTATTGCATTCATGGCATCTCTTGGTTTCACAAGTTGTAGGTTTCATAAGTCAATGAAGGTGATCTGTTCACTGAATTACAACAGGCAGGTTGTTCAGAAAAAGCAAGAAAAGAGTTTTAACGTAGTATAAGGCACGTTGATTTTATATTTGCTCACACAAATAAGTGAAATGCTAATTAAGAGCATATGCCCTTTAATTTTGGCAGGGACAAGAGAAGAGAAAAGATGAAAAGGTAGAAGTGCTGCTTTGGCAGCTGTTCACGTTTGAATATTGTGAAATTCTTTGTGTATACACATACCTATTATAACTTTCATTACTAATTATGTTTTATCCTGAACCACAGACATTATAGTTTTAAATTTATGTCTTAAACTAGATACTCAACAAAGGCACAGTGCAGCCAAAATCAAGATTTATTTCCTGTCTTTGTATCTTGCCTTTATATATTTAGTTAAACATATAGTATTAAAGATCTGTTCAGCAAGTTCTGCCTTTTTTGAGGTTATTTTCTGACACCTGATTTCAACAGACCCATAATAATAATTTAGAAATTTTTCTGTCTTCAATTAAAATTGCTACATGATCTGCAGTCCTCTAAAGCTATCTTTCAGGTATGGAATAGTACCTTGTGCCAGTTAAACAGATTAGTGTCTTTGAAGAATGTGTGCTAAGCGTCTTCAGAGTCTGAATTTTGGGCCTGATATACATGCAAGATAAATTATTATGGGCTCCAGAATGGCATAGCTGTTAGAAATGTCATGTCACACCTCAGAGTTGAATCCAGCACCTCCTGTGTTTGTCATATTTCTGTGATCTCCTAGTGTTACTGAGCATTTCCTTTGGTCATCCCCAACTTGGTCCCACAATCCAGAAGCATGCTTTTCAGGAGTAGTGGCCTTTTCAAAATTTGCCCTTTGGTTTGTATGATGACGGCTGCAGGAAGGCAAACCATGGGCCATTTTTTAAATTATAATCTGCAAACCGCAGCTTTAAAATGAACGACTTCCTGAAATGTTGCCAGGGTGAAACTTGCCCAGAACTGATTCAGGATGTACACACTCAAAAGGAACATTATGTACTGTAATGTAGGCATGAGCCTGAATGATCAAACCCAGAGAGGGTGCATAATGCTGCTGAGGAAGTGTGGAATGTGATTCACAAGTTGAACCTTTTTCTAAACCTGTCTGCTAGTATCTATTGTCTGTGAAGATTGAATCATTTGTATCCTGTCATGCCCTGGGATCAGAAACCAAAATATTGAGCCATGGATATGTCAACGATTTTAAAAAACCCATTAAACCAGTCATTTTTCATAACAAACAGTATAGTAACAGGAAACCCCCATCATGCTGTAGATAAGAGTTGGCTGATTATTAAACCATGCCAACACGAAGTAACATGCTCCTGGCTAGCAGATGTAACTGTACTCAAAAACAAATATAAAATATTTACACCAAAAAAGACAGATATATAGGGCTTTTATATATAAAAAAAATAGGGTGGTAATGGTAGCAGAATAATTTGCACATTAAAGTATTTTTAGTCATGTTGTGCAGTCATTGTACATAATCTTTTATGGAATCAGTTTACATTGAACTTTGCAACATTGCACACATTTGCATTGCCTCTAGGGCTAATTTAATGGTTGCTTGCGTGGAGGTCAGTAGTGGAATGCTGATGTAATTTCCATTTAATTACTATGAGCAATATGAATTTCAATCCATATCAATTGGTCTGGCACATTGATTATCTTGCTAAAGCATTCATATAGCCCCTAACCTTTCAAAAAATGTATCTTACAAAGGCTTATAAACTTTCTATATATTTTCACATACAAGCAAATCATTGATTTAAATGATTTTGCCTCTCATCTGTGGCTGTTAGGCATGTAAAGATGCA